ATTATATCACTTTTGACTCTTCTATCTTTAAAGACACTTCAGATTGCATTGTATGCACGTAGGCATTCCAAATTAATCTGTTTCAAAGTTGGCTATTGGAATCCTTAATTAATAGTGACCTTATTCCCTTTGGCCATATAATATAGTCTATTCATGCATTCCAGAGATTAGGATGTGGCTTCCTCTGATGGCCATCATGCCATCATGGAAAATGATATTCAAAGTATAGTGACCTTGATTGTTAAATGTACATTGAATTGTGTGTGTTGGGGTGGGGAGGAAGCACACAGGTTGGAAGTGATCGCTGAAGGAGGTGCATTTCAGAGTTGAACTGGCTTGTATTTAGTTTTCAAAGTCCTTGAGAACTGCACATGGAAGGACTCAATCTCAACTGCCATGAGCCCTAATTTTGAAAATCTAAGCACTTCATGACAATTGTAAGGGGATGATTTTGTAGGTGGCACTATAGTCCAGTTCTCTGACATGTATACACACTGTGTTGAGAAATTTCCCTGTCCCTAGAACATTCAAATGGGCTAGAATCTCCGAAGCAACATAGACAATTATAATCGCATTGTGGTAAGAAGCTAAAGTAGTTCAGTAGTTCTTCATGATTGTACTTGACATATATATTAGACCCTGTAGATAAATTATGAGTCAATGTTTTCTCTAATTGAGTGTATTAATTGTTCCTATCCTAGGTCTTGCTTCATTTAAGAACAGAATTTAGGCAAGATGAGCAAACTGCAATGTGCAGGCCTTCTTATGATCTGTAAACTATGTAAACCTAATCATTAGAGAAATCCAACTCTGATTTCCTCATTGAAAGACACAGATCCATTCTTTATCCAACACTAGAAATGACATTAAATATGTATTATTTATTTGGGAAGTTCTCCTAAAATCACATAGTTTTCAATCTTTTTTTTTTTAAATTCTCACTGTAATTAGCATTAATAACTATGTTGTGACTCCCTGAAATTAGCAAAGGCTGTAAGTGTTTATTACATTAAACATTAAAGAAAAAGAGAGAAGACACTGATTGTTCTAAAACGTGAGCCTGGGGGAAACTCTTCTCACAAGGTCTGCATGCTTTAGTAGGAAGCTCAACAAGAAATCAGACAGAGTAGGTATATCCTAAGGTCAGGCTACACATGCTCACTTTCTTCCTGCTGTTCCCATTGTTTGCTGTCAATCAGAAAGGAGAAAGCAGAGGAGCTGTCAATGCCATCCTTAGAAACCAGCTTGCCTTGTCCCAGAGCAAGAAGGATGCCAGAGAGGGCAGAGGGCAAATGACTACGCCCACACCAGACATGCTTCTGCCTTTAGGTGAGTTTTATCACACAAAGGAAATGGTCTTCCACTGTAAGTGGACAAGCACCACCCTCCCACTTAAGATATATTTAGAAAGCACAGTTAATAAAGTTGACCTTTAAGTAAGTAAAACAAAATTCACACACACACACACACACACACACACACACACACACACACACACACACGAGAAACATTCTTAGTATGTTTCAGCCTAATGAACTGCTTTTCCATAGAGGTTTACTGTGTAAGAATACACAATATTTTATAAATGGATCAAGTTGTAATGATGTTTACTTCTATTTTATTTTCAAACTTCAATTATCACATCATTTCAAAATGTAATGTTGACTTATCTTTATTTTTCCATAGGCTTGATTTATGAAAAGATATTTTTAAAGAATTGAATACCTCACAGAATGGATTAAAAATGTATTAAACAAACTAGATAGCAATTCTAAAAAGAAAATAATAGAAAGGACACAATTTATATCACAAACAGTAAACAGTGACTTCAATTCTAAGGTACCGACTTTTATATCATTTCTAGTATTTAACTGGCAAAAAACAACCTATGTGCATATGTTTTGCTTATTAGGAAATTAACAGGCTGACTTATTTGCTGATTTTGCACCATTTATTCATGCTCTGATATCTTTGTTAAAATTGGGTCGGAAATCAAATGACAGACTTTATAACTTTTATCCACCTTTCTTATTCTGTGTAACTGCCAATATCACAAAATATGAATATAATAAGCCCCATAGATGTAAACGTCTTTCTCATTTTCAGAAAAGTTTCTGCAAAGACTGAAGTAAATTAGTATTAATTCAGAACACAACCAAATCCATTACACATCAGTATGTTCAGGTGGAAAGAAAAAAAGAAAAAATGAAAAAGAAAAAGAGGGTGAAATCTGTAGTAGCTCATAGTACTTTGAAATGTGTGTTTAAACTGTCCTTTTGGGACTGGCACTAGTATCCATTAATTAGCAATAACAACTTGCTATTCATTCTATTCTATATAAAATAAGAAATTAATGAATTACAGCTAGCTTGGAGTTAAAAATACCAACCTATCCTGTCCTCTCTTAATACAACAACAATAACAAAATGTGTCTTTAGGGTTCTCTCAAAGACAAGGTCAGAAAAGAGAAGTTTAAGTATGTAGATGACTATGATTATGGAATGATTAAATTTGGTCTTTCTTAAAATAGATTTTGTAAACTGAGAACTACCAGGATTGTCTGCTTAGAATAATCAACTCATGCTATTCACCCATTGAACAGCAAAGAGAACAGTGCTGGATTCTTGAGTTGTCATAGTGTTTTTTCTTATTAATATATTTTAATTGTTTTCCCCTACCATAATTCTTCTCTCCCCTGTAATATTTCACTTCCTAATTTATTCACTGAGGTTAAAATATTTAAGGAGACATTAAATATCAAATATGTAAGTATTGTAGAGTTAATCAAATGTCAATAGTGAACATCATACCTTTTTGTTTGGTTGTTTGTTTTTTTCCAGACAAGAGCTCTCTAGCTGGCCTGGAATTTGCAATCCTCCTGCCTCAGCTTCTTCAGTGCTGGGATTACAAGCATGAGCACAACACACCCACTTTCACATGAAATTTCGTAGGCATGTGTTTTACAAAAGGAGGCTTAGTAGCCAGATTTCCTTCTTCTGTGTTTCTTGATAGTTATGTTTTTATTATAAATGAACAGGGATTTTAACCTAAAATGTTTATAAATGTTCCCAGACTTTTTAGCCACAGTCTCAAACCCTGCATGTACTCTTGTGCCTTCTCCCAGACTGGAAATCTACTGAAGTGAGAGCACTCTAAAATTGAAACTTATTTAAGAAGACTTTTATTGCTTTGGTTTTTCTGTATGTTGAAAACTTGGGTTCCATTGCTCCATGAGCTACTAGGTCATCAGGTCTACGGGAAAGCAACTTCTTTTCTAGTATTTCTATATTTGCATTTCTCTGATCCAGCACTAGAAATGCCTGCAGAAGGTTGTATAAGGAATGGAAGGGGATATCTAATCTACAAAGCTAGGGATTTGTGAAGCTGCTGAGAACCCAACACAGTCTTCAGGAAGGGCCCAGAAGGGAACATTATAAAAGTTGCTGCTGAGTCACAGCTGTGTTCTTAGAAATGTGGGTCTAAAAGCTGGTGAATGGAGTGGGTGGTTTTTGAGATTGGAGAAAGGTCTTTGAAGACTCAGTAATCTTGGATATACTGCTTTGTCATCATTCCTATGCCCAGGTCCAGCTAAACTTAATGTTTACGTCATCGAAGAAGACAGATTCTGGATCCATTTGTTTTTGCTACTACTGTAGCTTGTACAGAGAGTGAGAGAGGAGTCAGAGGACCATTCACATTTCCAGTTTCAACCTGGGAGATCAATAACAGTCTCTCTGTTTCTGCCTCTGTCATGTCTCCCTCTCCTTTGAATCTGTAGTCTCCTTTTTGCTGCCCCCCCCCATTCCCTTTATCTTTCCTCTTCCACTTTTCCTACCAGAAACCTCACAGGAAGAGAAAGAGTCAACCCTACAGGAGAGCGAATTACAGAGATGAAAACAGAAGTCTTTCATAATCCCAGGCAAGGCTAAGCCTCCAGCAGGCACAGGTGGCAAGTGTCAGTTTAACCCCTTTCTAACCCCGCCGTTTTAAACACTCGGGACCTCTCTCATTAGTTATACAAAGTACCAAATTCCAACCTCAAATCTCATGCCGTTAAATTAACAGCATCACACTGCTTTGTATGGTGTGAATGTCTCCCATAACTTCACAGGGGAAACACTCTTCAGATTTCATTTACCCGTTTAAAAATAGCAAACTCTAATTTGAAACAGTCTCTTCCCCCGACACAGGCACACAGTTGTGAGCTCTCACTAGTATTCCTTCTCCATGCTAGGTAAATATTTTTCCACAAACACAAATAAAACTCAATTTAATCACAGGTTTTAGAAGTCATATCTGTCAAAAGATGATGTTTGTTTTGAAACAAATCAAAAAGAAAATACTCTTTAGAGCTAAAATGACAAGCCACAATCTGTTTCATATAACAATGGCCATCTATTTTTAAGATACAAATCACAATTTCCAGTGTTTATTTTGACTTGAAGGTTGTCCAATAGATTACTACATCCCTACCCAATGAAATTTCTTTTTCTTGGGTAGGTGTGGACTGAGTGTGACAACTAAGACATTTTAGTATTTTAGACATATTAAAATGATGTGACAATTTTTCAATGTTTTGGTTATTCCTCTGAGAATGATCACACTCATTCCCTTCCTTCAACCTCCTACATCTCTCAGGTCCTCCCTCATCTTCTACCAACCTCTCTCTCTCTCTCTCTCTCTCTCTCTCTCTCCCTTCCCCTCTCCCACCCTTTCTCTCTCTCCTCTTATTGAATCCAGTGGTATGACAATTTCTTTAAAATTATATGGATGTTTTCAAACTTTGATACTTAGTAACTCAAGAAATAAAATTATCTCTCTAGAAGAGATGCCCACAGACCACTTTTAAGTCCACAAAGTCCAAAGTAGTACCCTCGTGTTCACTAAACAAGGAGTAGCTTTTTTTGTACCCAACTGAAACACTCGGAATACACAGGCACGCCAATTCAGTTTTCACACCAATTCAGTTTTGACAGAAGTCACGTCATATTTAAACTCACCGCTGGATGTAAGGGTCAGGGCAGTACTGTAGGGTGGCACACCGTGAAGTTTCAAAATTCATTTCCTTCAACTCTCTTTGATACCAACAGATGGGAAGCAATTCTATAAAGTATACGTATACACCTGAGAATATCTAGGTATGTAGCCAGGAGGCTGAAAGCAATAGGGTCAAATGCCATCAGACATAGAAGTTTAGACACTTCCCTGCTTCACTCAGATTTGCAGAGAGGCGGGGCATTTCTTCCTTTCAGCCAATGAGACTCTTCAAGGGACTAGAGCATCATAAACAGTCGGTTCTTACCAGCTGGGCATCCTCTTTAAAGCTGTTATTCCTCTCTGCCTCTGTTTTAGAGCCCTTGACGTCGAGTGGCCACACTTGTTGCCAATTTGTAGGCATCTCCGAACTTTTGATCTTGCTCGTGATTGGGTGTTGGCATGAATGGCATCAGAGGTTAATCTGAGGAGCCAGGACTGAGCTAATAAATGTCCCCCTCGCTCCAGCTGAATAACACCGCCTTGTATTTGGATCCTGATTTGACTCAGAGCTGCTGTCACTGCTACTGGGGCTAGAATGTTTTGCGGAGCTTAGGAGAGTTTCTTTTTTTTTTTCTTCTCAGTCTTCTCCCTCCCTCACCTCCCCCCTTCAGCCTTCCTTTCAGCCAACCGCCTGTTGTGGTCACAATCTCAAATAGCAAAGACAGGGAAATTCCTTGATTATATTTAACCTAGAACTCACTCTTCGTTTCAGCTAGAGAGAGAGTTATCACGCCTATGTCCTTAGAATTTTTTTCCGTCCCAAATAAAATAGCCATTACTGATTTATTTTATCCATACAAATGCAGGTAATAGTATTCTAAATGTGATGTTAAAGTGGGAACTGATACTTCATTTTAGTGTTTCAAATTATTTTATTTAGGTATTTACTTAGAATTATTTCAAATTGCCTATCAATGGAAAAAAATGAAGTTTATTTCAAACTTTATCAGTTGTTCTCACCTATGCTGTCTTTAATCTCCTTTGACCTACTTTTACATAAAATCTAACATGTTCATACATTTAAGAATTAGTATATTATCAGACAAAGTCACCATAAAGATTAATTTGTTTCCTTTCTGAATGTAGGCTGTAAACCTATCCTGGCTCTGTGGATTTAGAAATTGAATGAAATATGATTCAGAAGCTAAATAGGAATCGAGTCCAACAGGGAAATAAAAGCTGTGTGCCCAAGTGTCACTGACAGAGCAAGCACACATCTCCATTCATGCTTCAATCATGGACACCTGCAAACTAGTGACATCAGAAAATGTCAACATTGTGAGACAACCCAAAGTGAAATCTGACATTTTCCTGTAAGAAATTCTGGTTCAAAATGTGTTCATAAAGATGGTTTATTTGTTGCTCCAGCCAGGGAGAAGCTATTTAAAACCTGACATTCTCTTCCTTCTTCGCAGACTGAGAGTGTCTAACATCTGTGAATTGTGAAGCTCACATAAATGCTGGCCCAAGCCCCAGCCAAATCAGACAGCTTGCTCTGAAAAATGTGTAACTTGAAGCAAAGATCATTTCACTAATTAATTATAGATTTGCTCATTGGAATTGAAGGGTTTGGCTTTCTTCCTAGCAGCAAATCCAGATGACCTAATTTCGAAGTTCTTAGACTGAGAGCAGGCAATGGCCATGGCCATGGGGGAGTTCCATCACACAGGACCTGTCTGCTCCTAGTTGCAAGATGAGTCTTCAGAGGCAGAAGTGGGATGATACTCTGGACAAAGACAGCCTAAACTGTTCCCAAAATACAAGAATGGGGGATAAAGTTCAGTGACAAAACCGGTGTCTAGTGTGGAAAGGCCTGGATTCAGTCATCAATTCTGAAAAGTAAGGGAGAGCAAGACTATGGCTTTAATTGTAGAATTTCCTAAATGTGTATCTGGCCTGCCAGGTACTCAGCATATACACTCTGTCTCATAAGTCTATGATTGTGACATTTATCTCACAACTGCCATGCCTTCCTGGTCTATGCTTCAAACTTTCATCATGATTCTGCTTTGGATCATATTTTGTTCTCCACTAGAGATGTTCTCAAACTTCATCTGAATAACCTTCAAAAACCAAATGATTCCTTTGTCTCTTCATGTAAAAAGAACTGATTTTATCTCTTGAATCCTAAATCTAAATCTTTTTTTTAATTATTTTTTTTTATTTTACATGTCGATCTCAGTTCCCTCTCCCTCTCTCCCTGTTACCCTCTCTTCCCCCTCACATGCACCCTCTCCTCCCATCTCCCCCACCCCAATTCCCACTGAAGAATGGATAAAGAAAATGTGGCACATCTACACAATGGAATACTACTCTGCAGAAAAAAAATAATGGGATCTTGAAATTCGCAGGCAAATGGATGGAACTTAAAGAAACCATCCTGAATGAGTTAACCCAGTCACAAGAAAAGGAACATGGTATGTACTCACTCATTTGGATCCTAAATCTTAAGTTCAGCTGCTATGGTTTGAATATCAACTATCCCTCAAAGGCTCATGTGTCTCATGTGTTCTCACAGGCATTTATAGAGGTTTGAGGACCATTGGGAGGTGGGGCCTACTAGAAGGAAAGGATTCTTTGGGCCATTAGCTTTAAGATTTATAACCTAGTTCCACTGCCGGTCACATCCATGGTTTCTGATTTGCCTAGGTGTGAGCAAACAGCCTCATGCTGCCGCCGCCACAGCTCAGGCTCTTCTTGCTATCATGCCTTTGTGCCTTATCTGTGAGTCACGTCAAGACAGTCACATCAAGAGTTCTGCCTCACACCGAGAGAACAGTAAATGCAGGGATATGAAAAAGAGATGCTACCATGAATAGCTTAGAGCAGATGACCTTGTGTGTACCCCCAGCCATGGCAATTTGTGACTGTGGCCACTCTTAATTAGAAAACCTGAATTCAGAGCAACTCAACCTTAGGTGCCAACCTGTCAAGTTCATCATGGCCTATACCAATCACTTCAGACTATGGGAGCCAAAAAGGAAACTTCTAGAATACAAGGTGGTAAATTACCAAATATCAGCACATGAAGGGACAATCGAGTTCAACATTGTTCAGCACCTAACCTCAGTTCAGCCAGTCTCTATGCATTGAGGGGGAAAGCAAGGTGTGCCTTGGGAAGAGGGTCCTACCAACCCTCCCACCCAGTGTTCCATGTTTCTTAAAATTGTTGCAGCCTGACACCTAGGTAGAACAAAGATTAACCAGACTTCCTGTGTACTTCTAGTGAAAACGTGTTAATTCAGTGGGAAAGCACATGCATTGCACACCGAGCTGTGGTCCTTGGATTTGACCTTGGGCTTCTTGCAGGTCCTGTAATCCATCAAATGGAAATATTTATAGTTAAACTAATGACTACAATCTATTTAAAAGAAAGAAAACGCTTCAGGGGATTGTCCCAATGAAAGGGAAGTTTTGATTCAAAAGGCATCCAAGGAAACACAGACTCCAATTAAGCAGGGAAGAGGTTGGCAGGTTCCCTAACAGACAAACCTGATACCCTCAAAGTCACACCCAGTGTCCAAAAGCAATGTGGGTGGGCTTCTCTTCCAGACATCCCTGAACAGCTGTGTGGGGGATGCACTTCACTCCCACCCCTCCTTCACTCAAAGTCCACGTGAGTGGGAGATAAATAAGGAAACACAGGAAGTCCTTATTTGGTACTGCCCAGATTTGTTTTTCCGGAAGCATCTGCTAGATGCAAGACAAGATGTGCCTTTCCTCTATATGTTTCTGAAATGGAGAAATCTCTTACATGATCATGGTTCAACCAGGGAAACCAAGAAATGCACATCTACTCTCTGTACTCATTTAAAGTTGCCAGTTGTGCCAATCACGCTCACAGAGTGAAAGAATAATCCTGATTCACACATTGTCCTGCTTAGTCCTCTCTCACTGCAAACAGTCCCTTCAGCTGCCCCCTGACACGTCTATTTGGAAAGTTGACAGGCCAGCTGGTTAGTTTAGTTTGGGGGGGGGGTTGCATTTTCTCCTGAGTAGATTCAGTTACTCCCTTTTGGCATGAAAGTGAAGCTCGATACACCAAATCAGGAATTGTGTGGCTTTTAAAATACCACCAGTGGATTTTCCCCAACTTAAAACTCTGAGAAACAGATCATTGTGAAACTTTAACAGTAATTTCCAAGACCTCAGGAAATTCCGCTATAGGTTGTTCACAGTATCATATATGTCTGTGAGATTTAGACTTGTAAAATAGTTAGATTCTGATCTTTTTACATCATTGTCCCTTTTTTACAGTTTCCATGTCATCACCTTTTGCCCCACATGGCCTTGAGAGGAGGTAGGGATGGGATTTTTAGAGGGTACCTTTTAAGTTGGAGTTGGAAAGACTCATTCAAGTAGCATTCGGTTTTGTTTGGGAAGAAACTACTGTCATTCATCCCGGTGGACGAATGTCCCTGAGCATGTTCCTCCTGCTCATAGGTTGACTTCTTGTGGGTGGAGTCAGGATCACTTTGAAACTGGCAGGAAAATATCTGCAGGCTCCTTTATCAGGGATGCAAAATGATATAGGAAAATCAGCGACTTCAGTATTATTTAAAACTTAAAGTGTTTTCTATTATCTAATAATTGTATATTATTAAGTACACATATTAGCTATAATCTGCACATATTATATGATATACAATTACACATATACATACACGACATGGTTGTTGTGAGAAGGATATATGAAATAGAAATTATCTTACTTTTTTTGGTGGACATAAGCACACAAATCTGTGAAGAGCCACAAACAGTAAGGCTGTCTGTCAAGTTTCATGTTGACACACTCTATAAAAAGCCTAGGGAAGATTTTTCCAACTCCAGGAATCCAAGACTATCGACTTCTTAAAAACCATTAAAAGTTTGATCTGTCTATGTGTCTATCATATAAAGTCATTTTGTTACAAAAATCATGCTTATAAAATGTCTATAGATTACTGAATACATTTGTAGTGTTATCAGAGTCTGGGGGGGAGGGGCCAGCTGGAAGTGGCTGTTTTAACAGGTATTGGGTTGCAGTTTTGCAAGATGATAAACTTCTAGAGATCAGTTACATGACACTGTGGCTATATTTAGCTCTACTCAACTGTACATGT